AACTAAAATTTTAAAAAATTTATAAGTGTCAATCCTGTTCATATCATACAATTTTTTAATAATTCATGTATGTTTATTTAATATGTAAAAATGAATACTTACACCTAATGTTTTTCCTTATGGAAGTTTAACTTTCTGTATTCGTTTGTGAATAAGGGTAGTTCTGATAGCCCGTTGGGAAAGATGGATTTTGTTGACCGGTTTGTGGTTGTGTAGTAGATCCAGCCCCCGCTGCATAATAACCCGTTGGTGTTGAACCAGCATTTATTGTTGGATAACTACCGTAAGCTTGTGGAAATGCATTGGGAGTCCCACCTGCTGGACCTGATTGACCTTGCATGCTCTGTTGCATTTGTTGTTGAGCCATTTGATTGTTTTGTATTCCCAACTAAAGAAGTAAATGTATTATACTACTATCATGTAGCATTTAAATTATTATATAAGAAATGCTCATATTTTCAATGATTAACGTACCTTTCCTGCTTTCATTTGAGCTTCTATAGCTTCTGCTTCTTTTATTTTACCAATACTTCTATAATACTCTGCCCATTGTGCACTGTAATCAGCTTGACCTCCATTTTGTGTAGCTCCAGTTTGTGGCTGTTGCTGCTGTTGCTGTGCTTGTTGTTGTTGTTGTTGTTGTTGTTGAGCTGGTCCAGCAGTACCAGTTGTTGATGCATTAGTTTGATTCTGTGTATTTCCTACAGATAAAAGTTGATATTTGTAAGTTAATTTATCTAATTCTGCGTTAATTTAATAAATTTCTATATTTTCTAGATATGTTTCGAATATTTTACCTGACTGTTGATTGTGATCTTGTTTCCCTTGTTTTGCTTGTTGTTCGATCATGTCTGCTTCTCTGTGCATACCAAGTGACCGATAGTATTCCGCCCATTGTGCACTATAATCTGGTTGACCTGTTTGCGGATTTACTTGAACAGGTGCTTGACTTGCAGTACCTTAAATTAAGCATAATATATGGAAAATGTATATATGACTTTTAAATGTTTTCTTTCGATATAAAGGTAGACATACTTGTATCGGTAGTTTGAGGTTGACTTGGCCAGGCTTGATAAGCTGTTCCAGCATTCCAAGTTGGATTATATCCAATTGCTCCTTGTGTACCAGTAAACGACGTATTAGCTGGAGCCTTCAATTTCATTTAAATCAGTAAGTGATCAAATAATTAATCAACTGATAATAATACGCCTTTGTTATATACATTTACAAATTACGATATTTTAAAATACTTACCATGCCCAGTTTTTCACTGAATATTCTCTTTGCATGTTCTACTTGTTCAGGATTTCCGCGAATTATAAAAATCTTTTCATTTTCGTTACTTTGATTTCTTCTATCTAGTTCACAATGTGCCCCAGTTTGCTGATTTATTTGTTTAATAGTTTCACCACCTAAAATAATTAAAATAAGTATTCAAGACTGTTTATTGAAAATATTAATCTTATTTATATATGTTTATAAGTCAAAATAACTGTACCTTTTCCAATAATAATACCACATTTTGAAGAAGGAACAGTGAATGTTGTTTCTATTTTATCTTGCATAGGTCCTCCTTGACGTCTGTCCCATCCACCATATTCATTTGGATTACGATTGTTACCAAATCCATTGCCTCGTGGGCCACTTCTTGCTCCCATATTACTTCTACCATCATCTCTTCTCTGGAAACATTTTTTTAATAAAAATGATCTTATGAAATATATGATTCAGAATTAGTAGAAACTATATTTACCATTACACTGTCGATAAGTTCTTGAATACGTTGACGTACTTGTTCTACAGCTTGGTGTTTTCCTGACACTATGCATTTTCTATCTCCAGGACCATCTTCTCTTCCTTGTTGAAACTGGACTCTTGCACCAGTTTCTGCTTGTATTTTTTTAATCATATCTCCTCCTTTACCAATAACAACACCTACTGCTGCTCTTGGAACAAGTACCTAATAAATGGATACATTATTTATTCATGTAAACGTATGAACAAATATGTTTGGAAACATCTTTTTATATAAAAATCACTGTAATGTTTGTAAAAGATATATTATACCTCTACTCCATCAGTGGTTCCAGAACCATGATTAAAACTACTCTCATTTGAGTAATTTCCACTCCTATCACTACCTCCTCTTGTACCTCTATGAAACATTTGCATTTCTTTTTCAGCTATTAATTCATATACTAATTGTTTGGCATATTCAACTTTTTGTGGATCACCAGTTATCCTATATAAAAAATTATCTGTAACTTATACTGATTCTTAAAGATATCTGCATTACAATAAGATCACAGAATGTTGCTTATAATAAATAGTCAACAGGATCTTGCAAATATAACTACCTTAAAGGTTTCTCTTGTTCCTGAGATGGCCCTTCTTGAATAACAACCATTTTTGCTCCAGATTTTTCTTGAAGCTGTTTTATTGTTTCTCCTCCCTTTCCAATGATTAAACCAACTTTTGGTCCAGGAATCATTATTTCAACAAATCCTGGGTGACCCATCATACCGCCGCTACTTCCAGTCATATCACCGATTCCTTCAGTTCTACTTCTTTGATTTACAATCGACAGTACCAATTCTTTAGCTCGGCTGAAACACACATAATTTAAGCGTGCAATGTAAATTTAAATAATGCGCAATTTAAATATAATCTATTAATATACAGTAATGTAATTTGTTTGCAACACATAATGTGATGTCTACTGTGTGCCAAAGTATTATAAGTCATGAATGTCACATCATTTTTTGTTTGACAAAGAGTTATTTCTTAAGTGTATAATAAAATTAAATTTCATGTTAAAATGTCGTAGGCTTAATTATAAGCAGATTTAAATAAATAAAAATTCAATTTTCTTCTTGTTGCGAATAACACGTCCCCATGCATATCCTATCCTCCTTCCTTCCTTCTTTCTCTCCATATCCTATTGAAAGCAAAAAACTATTAGTAAGTACAAAATTATTAAATTAAAAGCCACAACTTATTGATAAATTCTCAATGAGAAAATATTCTGAAGCATATGTAAAGTCAAGTATGAGCCCGCTATTCGCATCCAGGAGCTAAATAAAGATTCTGTAAAACATTTGACATTTTCAATATGCGAAAGCATGTAACCTACATTTAAGAAATGCATGTTAACATGAAGTGATAGCATATGGAGTATACTAAACACACGCAAACTATATTTCACCAGTACTATTTGTGCTTGAAGCACACTTTCTAATGGATACAGTCAGTGTATATAAAGCATTATAATCTTATATTACAACAACACCACAATGTGATTTTCAAAACCATTTTGTCAAACATGAAATAGTTGATACTTTCAGGTGTTTCTAGGAAATTTTATAGTGGAACTAGGTGGATAATTTGTTATTTAAGTAATATACAATCTAATCAATTTCCTATATATCAAATACAAGGAGGATAGCAGGTTTGTTTTCCTGTACATGTGTTTATAAGTGAACATGTACACGCATATATAAATACATATTTAAATGTGTATATATGTATATATATCGTCGACTTGGTGGTCAAATTGATCGAGTCCACGTTAAAAAATATGGCTTTAGTCAGTTTTACCAACATGCTGACGATATATATATAAATATATGTACAGATGTAAAATATATATTTTACATTATGAGTGTAATCAACAAGTACCACTTGACATAACACCACGAAGTAATCCTTTGTTCTAGGCAAAAGTTTGTAAAGTGGAAATTGCATTGCATACAAAATAGTTAAAATTAACAAAATAAGAAGGGAAAAACAAGTTACTTGACAGCTTCTCGCGAGCCAGTTAATGTGCAAACACGTTCAGGTAGCCCACCACTTTCTGGTGCCATTTGTATTTTACATCCTGTTTCACTCTGCAATCTTGTTATTTGTTCTCCACCTCTGCCAATTACTGCAAAGATATCATTATTAATTACAATAATTCATTTAAAAAGACTGTAATAATTTGTTTGTGAACTTGAATTTACATAAATTATGCCAATTTTATCATCAATATTACAAAATTATTTTAACATAGTAATAATTTAAGTATTATGAAATTTGAACAGGATTATGCAGGTACAATGTATTGCTAAGTTAGAAAATAAAGTATACACATTCTTTTTTTAACATAACATTCAAATATAAAGAATATCAAAAATAGTATGAATAATATTCATTTGTACTTATTCATTTTCAAGTAAAAAAAATACATATAAGTTCATATTTACTTACTTAGACCAACCATGTTATCTGGAACTCTGATATCTTCATTACAAATACCTCCAACATTTCCAATTGGGCCTGATGAAGATCCTACTTGTCCTGGTCGTCCTGCTTGATTACTTGAATCTCCTAATGAATTATTTCCTGCTGGACCACGAAGTCCTATCAATGGATCCGATACTAATGATGCCATTTTTTTTGCCTCAGGTTCTAAAACAATAACCCCTGTGTCAAGAAAATATACTTTCTTTTTATTTTATATATTATTTCAAGCTTTTTTTAATTCAATCCAAATATTTTTTATATTAAAGTAATTTAAAATATTATTTAAACATCACTATTTTAATATAATTTAAGTAATTTTGTAATAAATTTTTATATATACATAGAACATTACCTGATCCATCTTCAAGGGGACGTTTTAACTTAGTGTCTTGATTATTTTGAGCACCAGCTGGATTAATCTTTGCAGCTATCTGAAAAGTAATTGCACTTAAATTATTGATAATTCATCAATTATAAATATACTTACATTAAATTAATCAAGAAGCATAACTGCTAATTAGGAAATATTTTAATAATTAAAACGCAGTTTACATATATACTTTTTAATAAGTTTAATAAGTTTAATAGGTTTAAGTTATGAACTAAATAAAATACTGTAAATAAAAATTTATTAAAATTATGAATAGCATATAAATATAAGAATGAAATTTATTTACAGTTTTTAAATACATTAATTAAATATTAAAATATAAAATCAGTAGCTTAAAGAAATACAATTATTAATATGATTACAATTTATTGTTTATTAAAATCGACGTATGGTTTTATGAATGCGCGAAGTGTTATACGACCTACTTACAGAAATTTAATTTAACGATAACTTACATTTCATTCATTTGGCGCATTCACTTACTTGTTTTGCACGTTGCAAAGCTGCTGCAAATGCAGAACTTTGGCTAAAATTTTGAGGCGGAGCAACCGCTGAATAGTCACTCATGATGGAACATGAAGCAGCGATACGAATAAAACTATCCCAATATTTCTTTTAGCAAACTGCTATTAATAATTGATACTATGTAATTCACTTTACCGTGTAATGCTTAAAACGTATTTCACACAAAATCTAGATACTATAACACACTGCTTTGAAAATACACAATAGTACAAAGCAAAGGTTTATGAGTGAAAGAACTATGCTTTCACAGAAAGAACAGCACAGCGCAAGCGTCGGTCATAGAATACAAAATTTTGAAGATTGGTAATTACTTGAGAAATTGATAATACTTCAAATGGTATTCGAATAATTAAAAGAAAAAATTTGCTAATTACAATTGTTTTTTATAATAGTTCAATTTTATTTATTCATGTATTTTTTTCATTACTATCTTGATCAATTATACATATAAAATTTTATTAAACGAAATTTAAAATGAATTACGAGAATTTAACTTATCGTATACCTTTTTTATTTCATGTACAATAACAAAATAAATCTTTAAACCTTACAAGCTCAAATAAAACATCCATTCGCATTGCAAAAGATGAAAAACATAAAGCTCATATCTTGGTAAAATATTTCATGTATTTTAATCTCTTATGTGTACACAGACCCCGTGCGCATACATCCGCCGCGCGCGCACGCATACACACTATATATTTAGAATGCAACTGTGACTTGATCAACATTTTTATTCCATAAATTCAAAATATTCATAATTTAACTGTAAAACACAAAAATAAGAATAAAATGATTTATTATGATATATTTTGTACTGCACAGAATTAATATACTGATCCGCTAATCTAAAAAATAAAGCTGATGACTAAAAAACAATTCTTGTAATTTATTTTAACGTAAGAAGATAATTTTTTAAAGTAACAACTAATAATAGAAACACAAACACACTTATTGTGTGTAAAGAAATAAATTTGTATTAAATATCGCTTTATTTAGTTACATAAAAATTTGCTGAAAAACAAGAATTATTTCTGTAATGTTCTAAAATATGAAAATTGAAGTTCATAATTTATTTTATTACAAGAAACAAGTAACTTTTAAAAATAATTACTGAAATGTTTTTCGAAATTAAGAATACTTGACGTTTTGATAATAAATATAATTTTTATGATTACACGTTTTGTTACAGTTGTTATTTGATAAAAACTTTAACATATATCGAATTATTGATTCATAAATATATCACAATCTTTTGCGTACATGGCTGATGAATTAATAGTCTTTATTTGAGATTAGAAGTACATACTATGTTTACAACGTGACAAAGCTTTATATTATGTTTGTGTGAATGTACATATATACATAAATATACATGTGCATTCACGTAGAGTTTTGTGATGTGTAAAGTTATGAACACGTATTAGATAAAGAAATGTCTAGTCACCGACTATTAAAAAATCATTTTCAAGTATAGTTGATATGGTTTCAGTATTTCTTATTTAAAATTTTGTATATTTTATTAAATTTTTATAACAATGGAAATGTCACATTTACAACCATGCATTCAATTACAAATTCCAAAGGAAGAATTAGAAAGAGTTGTAGATAAGGCTAAGGATTGGGCTCTTATACATGGTATGAATTTATAAATATCTCAATTTAATAAAAGATTTATTAATTGTCTTGTATTGTTAAAAGTATTCAACAATGGTCCAATCAAATTTGGAAAACATAGGCTTATCTTGTTGTTTTTTTTTTAGGGATTAGTATGCGATCTAAAGAGTCTTTTAATAGAAATCAAGTACAAGTACTCCCATTTACTTTATTACCATCAAGTTTTCCTAGAAAGAATTTTGAGAAAGTTAAAAGTATTCAAGTACTGTTAAATGAACTTATACATAAGGTGGCACATGATAATGATTTTCTTACAAAGAGTTTAAAAAGGTAAGTGAAAATATAAAAGGTTTATATTTGTTTTATGCAGTTATTTTATTTCTTTTAGCACAATTGAAGCAGATTCATTCACAGCAAGATTATTTAGTATATATGAAACTGTATATAGAGAAGGATATACTCAAGTAAAGTACTATTCAATTAATATAAATTTATCCTAATTAATATATAATAAACATGTCTTTAAGGTATGTTTCCCTTATAGACTTTAAGTCTTGGTTTGCTGCGATCAGATTACATGTTACATGAGAACCAGATTAAACAAGTCGAATTAAATACTATTGCAAGTAGTTTTGGGGGAATAGTTACAGTTACTTCTAAGTATCACAAGTAAGTATTTATTATAGTCTTTGATATTATGGAAATATTTTAACATGAATGTATAATATTTTTTTAGATATATTTTATCAGATTTGGGACATGCAGATAAAATAAAAAATGTAAGTTATTTTGTTTTTTCATCTTTATATCTTACTAAATATAAATTTTTTATAATGTTTAGATTCCAGAGAATAATCCAATTAATGGTCTTTCCAAAGGATTAATACAAGCATGGAAATTGTATAATAATAAGAAGTAAGTAATTGGTATAGTGCAGCAAAAAATAAATATGTAATGAGTAATTGCTGAACAACTAATAAATCTTATTATAGGGCTGTAATATTATTTGTTGTTGAAAATATTACTTATAATATATGCGACCAAAGATTTCATGAATTTGAAATTCATAACATTAATCCTGATGTCAAGGTAATTAGAAGAAGTTTAAGGGATTTGGTATCTGAAGCAAAACTGGGACCAAATAAAGAATTAATAGTGTATGTAATTATTGAAAACGGAAATAAGTAATTATTTTAAATTTCTAGTGGAGGTTTAGAAGCTTCTGTAGTTTACTTTCGTTCTGGTTATGAAGTTGAAGCTTATCCCACAGAACGGGAATGGGAAGTTAGACTACTCATAGAACGATCTCGAGCAATAAAATGTCCATCAATACATTATCATCTAGCTGGCACTAAAAAAGTATGCTTAAAAATATGAACGAATATTAATCTTCTTTGTTGCTGAATAATGACAGGATTAAATAATTATTTTTCTAGGTGCAACAATCTCTGGCTTATCCTAATGCACTCAGTATATTTTTAAAAGATAATAAGGCAATAAAACAATTACAAGAAGTATTTGCTGGGCTTTATTCTTTAGAATTTGTGAGTATCAGATAATATATTTCATAAGTATTAATTTCAATGGTAAATGGCGAATGATATTATTATATTGTTTCAATGATGATATATAATATTTTGAAAATATTTTTCTTCTGGTGTGTATTGTGAATAGAATGATGAGGCAGAAACAGTAATTGATAAGGCTATATTGGAGCCAAACAAATATGTATTAAAGCCACAAAGAGAAGGAGGTGGAAACAATGTTTATAACGAAGATATAAAATTGCACTTAGAATCTATGAGAAATTCGGAGAAAAGGACTGCTTGGATACTTATGGATCGTTTTTATCCTCCTGTGCAAAAGAATTACATTGTACGTGCTCATAAAGAGCCATTTGAAAATAACCATTTACACTTTTCTGATGTTGTATCAGAACTTGGAATTTATGGTGTTGTTATAGGGTAAGTAACAGAATATGTTTTCCTAATGGTTATCTTCCAAATCAGATTGTGTTACCATGAAGTTTTGCTATTACAGAGACCATGCAAGTATTATATATAATGAAGAGGTTGGACATATTTTGAGAACAAAATCATCGAATGAAAATGAAGGTGGCATAGCAGCTGGAATTGGTGCCATTGATACTCCTTACCTCATCAGTTAACACAATAAAAATTTATGTAATTATGAATTACCTATTTAATAGCATATATTTATGCCATTTAGAAGTATGAATGAATTATATTTTTAGAATTATGTTTTTAAGACAAATGATGCGAATAAAGAATATTATTGTTGAATGATAGTTTTTATGATGATTTTATCTTGTTATATGAAAATTTAATCGAGCACGGAGGAATAAAAAAGTGACAAAGTAGCGATCACTTCGTTTTTATTATTTAATTTGGATTTCGTTTCAATTGAACAATCAATATTATCAAATGTATATTTGATATACATTTCACTGTATTAAAGGAACATTCTGTTTATACGTAGAACCTTCAGATTTGTTATCTGGTCGATCCAGATTAAGATTTTTCATTCTTCTCCATTATATTTAGGTTCCTGTTCTGAATGGAAAATCTGAATAAATACACGTAGTTATTACCAATTGCACGCGACATAATTATTCTACCTTTTGTATATCCGTTAGTGGATTCACATACTCATGTTCCCCAGTTGGTAAACCGGAAATGCAATTCCGCAGGAATGTATCTTCATTATGTTCGGACAATGGATTGTGAAAATGAATACTACAAATAAAAAAAGTAGTCAATGTTTCCCTATTGTATTTTCAAGAAGATCAACCATTTCTTTACTTACCTGAGGCTATTCTTCTTTAAACAATTCGGTTTGATGTTTCGAAAATAAAAATACGTCAATCCAAGTACGATGCACGCCAATCCAATTAGTATCATTGTTATTATACCAAATAATGTTCCGTTTTGTTGACGAACATCCTTGTTCCTGCGACTAGCTATACTGGAATCGAACTGAATCTTGTTATTCGTGTCTTGCATACAAGTATTGGAATCTTTTGTATATCCATTATGACAAATACAAGCGGGACCATCTTTTCCGTGAACGCACATATAACTGCACGTATACTTCTCGCAAGAATTCTTCACTGTTTAACAAAAATATAAATGCATTCTTAATATCGTCTAATTTATGAACTTGTTAAACAATTATCTTTTACTACCCACCAATAGGTTGCCTGATGGTGTGTAAAATGGTAAAATACTTGTCGACATTTGAATTACCAATGGGAATCGTTGTACACGATTTGTCACCATATAATTTACACTTTTTTACCGTGCCAGTTGGTGCCATTAACCAGTATAAAGAGTCCTCGTATACGCTAATACTCAGAGCTTGATAATTCTAAGGAATTACACGAAAGATAAGAAGAACGATAAGGAGCCATTTGAAATGCGTATATTTCGCATGAAAACCGCAGATATTTACTTACATCCGTGTTTAAAACTAATTTACGATTAGAACCGTCTAAATTCGAAGATTCGATAGATTTGAGAAAGGTGTCTGACCAGTATAGTTTGGATCTCGCGTAATCAACGGTCATTGCGAAGACAGCGCCAATATCTCGATATAAGATTGCGGTCGCATTGGTACCGGTTGTGTGGCATCGATATATTTCCGTTGTTGGTTTATCGTAAAAGGTCCACGTAGTTTGACTCCAAAATAACCACCTGCATTACAATTCTTTCGATATTTATTGAAATTCAAATAAATCTACAGTCGTACTGAAATCATGTTTATAAATTGGATGGAAAAAGGGGTTAAACGAAACGTACCCCTGTCTCGGATCAACAGCAATGGCCGTAGCTCTGTTTTTCGATCCGATTGAAACCACTTTAGCACACTTCCGTTGTTCTAGATTGCATACCTACAAATTATTAGTAGAAAATTTGTCTTAGTTGGACGCGGGTAGCATATTAAAGCGACTGGTGAATATTCAGTACCTTAATGGTGCTGAAATGGTCATTATCATTAAAATATACGTTGTCGGTAATCCAATCAACGGCAAGAGCTTCCGGTCTACCAAGGCCGGTAACTGTCTTTCGTTCCTTGCTCTTTATGTGTATTTTGCTTACCATACCTAAGACATCTGTGAAGAATAGTAATGTTTTATCACCGTGTACATATTTGAATTTAATTTTAAGAAGGAATTCGAAATAATTCGCATTTAGTTCTTGAGTTCTTGAAATTGGAAAAAAAGTGTAACATATCCTTATTGATTCTTAAAGTAATAAAAAAAAAAGAGTTACTAAAAATAGAGAGGAAGAAGAAAAGAAAGAAATCGTGCTTCCATCCTTACTAATTATTATTTTAATTAATTACAATAATTAATCTAAAAAAATTAACTAAAATTATTTCTTTTCTTTCTAAAAGATCTGCTTCTTTTCTTCTTCCTCTCAGTTTCTAATAACACTTTTTTTTATACGTTCGACAATTGAGCTGTACAGAAGCCAAAGTAACTAACTTCATCGAACAAAGAGCGGAGAAAATAGATGAATATTCGAAGGAAATTAAAAAAAAAAAAAAAGCAATATAAATTTATCAATCTTCTTTGGTTCGTGTTAAATAAGTTAGCGTTAGTCTCTTCAGCTTCTGAACGCCTCTGTTGAATGTTCTAAAGGAACATTTTATCGATTAAGAATTAAATAACTTTAATTAGATTTCGAATATGAAATTTTACCATTACTCCAGTAAATGGTCTCTCCTCTCGCGTCGAAGTCTATGCCACTTATTTCCGAATTCATTTCTTCGTAAATAACTTCGATCGAGTTTAAGTTTGGCGATAACTTCCTAATATCATTACGAGCGACAGCAATTATTTCCATTTGTGGTCCTAAGATAATAATTTATCAGAAGAATAGTAAACCATTAGCAAAGTATTGTTTCAAGTGAATTTCTTTACCAGCCACTTTGCAAGAAGTTCTATCGCCTCGTATAATGTATCCCTCGTTACACGAACAAGTGAAAGATCCTTTGGTATTGTGACAGATTTGTGAACAGCTGTTTTCTTTGCACTCGTCGATATCTTCGCAAGACTTCAAGTCGCTGCTCAACTTATATCCGCTTCTACAACTGCAAACAGGACCAACGGGTGTCCTATGGCACATATTACTGCACGGATTGTTCTTTGTACACGCGATTGCTGAAACAATATTCAACCCCTTCCACTTATGATTGTTTTCATCGACTATGCATTCAAGCGTCAGCTATTCGTTGTTTTAACACTGTACCAGATAAGAAAAGCTAATGCATCATAGATTGAAATTACATTTGGTAATCCTCAGTCCTATAAATTAAAAGGAAAGTTGCAATTAAGACTAATTTTTCCTCAAATCTCATCGTAACTCTGTTTTCTTTGAAACAATTTTCTAACATAAAAAAAAAAGTAACGAATGTTCAATTCGTTAATGTCGAGAAATAAGAAAATACCAAACGACTTCTGTATACTTTTTTCCAAAATTAACATTTTAGGGGAAGAAAATAGGACGATTTTGGATGGAAAAAAATCTGAAGTTCTGTCATTTCTTCGAGCCATGCGAATTCTGTGGTCTTTAGTATTGTTCGAAATTTTCTCTTTGAATTCCCAACTGGCCTGACGCCTTTACGGAGGCAACATTTCCAAATGTCAGAACAGTGCAGACATGATTTTTCGAGGCTTTAAATCTGGGGATTGAAGCTGCGAAGATGAATCTCGTTTCGAAATGAACTTCAATGAAAAAACGGAAGATTCTTGTGCAAAAGGAATTGATAAATTACCAGAAAGATGGAACATGATCGTGCGAAACGATTTATATCGCGAATTAAACGAGAAAGTAAGCATATTGTAAAGAAAAAATATGACAAATTTAGTGACGCTTGTGTTGATAATTTTTGAATGAAAAAATCATACAGGTACCCACCACACTCTCCAAATTCGTCGCTTCGATCCAAACAGTCCGCTTTCCCGTCGCACACCTTGTCAAAGGGGAGGCACACCCCGTTCGAGCATTTGAATTCTTTGCAATTAGAAATCACGCTGACGTCGTTCGTCCTCGAATTACCGCCGTCACAATCTCTTTCATCCGATCCATCGCCACAATCGTTCACTGTGTCGCACACCCAGCTTTTGTCGATGCACTTCTGATTGTCGCAAACGTACTCTTCCGGGAGACATCGAACGCAATTACGCTCGTCATCGTACTTTGGACAATCTTGAACGCCATTACATCTGACGGTATAATAAAGTCGAGTTTAAATAAATAAATTTCCTTCGTTTCCGAACTGGCGGTACGACCCGAAAAGGGACGGGTCTACGTGAAGAAATAATTGGAAAATGTGGAGTAACACTTTCTGAACGAATCAACGTTGAATATTCCAGATTTTTTCTTCTACATTTCTTATTTATTTTTGCATAAGAAATCGCATAAGGAAGCATTGTACGATAACTTCCGGCCGCACCCTGTATATTTGTTACAAAAGATTGCTAGAAATAGTACTTGAAATACAGCGAGAACAATATTCTTAAGAATATCGAATTAAATAATTCTCCCCCGTTTGAGACTAATTTCTTACGATATTTCTTGTTTTTCCATAAAAACAGGGAATAACGTAGATAAAGAAGAAATTCTACATCCAGCACGTTACTCGACATTTTGCAAAATCTCTCAGTTGAAACGATCAAAGGATACAAAGAAACCTTAATCTCTGAGCCCTAGATTCTCGATACTCAGGTATACTACAGTGATAAAAAGAATTAACAGTGGACGACTGACCTGACTCGTTTAGGAAGACACATTTCCGTATGGAAGCATTTATATTCGTCCACGGTGCAATTCACGGGATTTTTGTTACCGAAATCGCTGCAGTACTTTTCATCGCTGTTATCCTCGCACTCGTCGATCCCGTTGCACTTTAACATCGAATCGATGCAACGACCATTCGAACAAGTGTACATTTCAGACGGACATCCGACTCTTTGACACTCGTCGCTCTCGTCTGAACCGTCTGGGCAATCAACCTTGATCGACACGTGAGATTAAAGAATTAGAAGCTTGAACACTTGTACGGGACATATTAACACGTTGACTGCCGCGTTTGGTCACCTGTGACCGGAGATCGTTCCCTCGATGGGGCCACGGTGGTCATCGGTGCCTCAAATGTGTAGGATGATTAAAATAAAACGAATATCGTCGACTAAAAATTTCAACCGTCTAGACATTATTTGGAATTAAAAGAAATAATAAAAAAGCAACGTCCTGAGAGCAACGTGTAAATCTGGCGTGGCAGTGAACGCGTTAATATATCAAATTAGATAACTATAATTTGTTTTTTACTGCTGCAAAACGTGAATGTTTAAACGCTCCATTTTTCTACTGTTAGGATAAACACGAATTTCCGCCACCCCTTACACTATGAGTGGAAGGCCATCTTCACGCCGCGCGTCACTTTTTCTAAAAGTTGTTACTTCAGTTTACTGATTTTGGTTCAGAGTTGATCGTTGGAATAAAAGAGTTATTTTTGTGAACGGAATACTGAAATTTTTCAAGTCCCTGTTAAGCTGCGGCATAACAGTACGACAACCTTTTCACTTTGTAATTAACTGCTTAATTTTAATGTAGTTTTATTTACCGTATGTGTAAAAGTACAAATTGCGAGGGGGTATTTAAAAATTTGAAACGCGTCCAATTTTTGACGAAAAAGCTAAGAAAACTTTCGACAGCCTATTGAAAGATTAAAAAGAACTTAAGATATTGTTGATGTATTTGTCGAAAAATTAGGAAGCGAAGAAAATTGTAAACGCTTCCAATAACCCGTTGAAAATTTGAAAAATTCGTCCATCTAGTGCAATTAGTAGAAAAGTGAGATAAATATGTCTAACAGCATTTCACAAATATCTCCTCCAAATTGTCCCGATTATTTCGAATCTTACGTAGAAAAAGATGAATTACATATTGCAATTGTTCCAATTGTAGTTAACACTAGGTTTACTGGACGCGCCATTTTGACGCATTTCGAATTTGACAAGGAAAATTACAGAAATCGTTTACATCTCTCTCCTACCACTTATGCTTATTATAAATTTTATACAAATATATAATATCACATAGCTTCATCTGTAAGTTGTAATAATAATGCACAATATGTTGTTTTTTAAAGAAAATACGCGGTTTCATTCACTCGTCAATTGGACGCGTGACCGTAGAGATAGGTGTATAAAAAATTTCCGTAAACCTAGTGTTAAAGAAATAAAAGGACATCACGTTAATGGGAGTTCGTAATGACTCACCTCGCCGTCGCATTTCCACGTTTTTAGTATACAAGCGCCTGATTCGCACGCGAAGCTATCGGTGTCGCACGTGTGCTTGCTGCAATTGATTTCGTCGGTAGCATCGGAACAGTCGTTTAGCCCGTTGCACACGAGATACTTCGATATGCAAGCCCCCTCGTGACATTGAAACTCATCTGAAAGATATTAGAGTCACCGTGAATGATTGCTGGCTGCTTCAGAGTCGTCGCTGCCCTTCTTTATTCAGGCTGCACGCGATATCGAACATCGTTTTCCGATGTTGATGTTTCCCAACAATAGCATTATTCGCCACGACGTACAACACGGACCCTCCCCGCGTTTTCTTATCTCGCGCGCGGGAATAAATTGGCCGTAAGAATCGAACCGGGAGAGAGAGAGAGAGAGAGAGACCTTAATAAACGTGATCTTAATAAAAGGTGATCGAGAATCGATCGAAAAGTTATCTCGGTTTCGAGAAGAAAGAAAACGAACGTCGACGCGAAAAATAACGAGAGAGAATTGAAAATGTTGACGAGATAAAATTGATTTCGTTCGATGTTTAGGGGAGAGGTAACACCACCCCGAAAATTCTGAGGATAGGCGAAAGTTTGGGAATTTTTTTTCACAGGTAACTACTAAACGAACGTTTTGGATCCTTTTGGAGGATGTAAATGTAACTTTCAACTTCTTTCTTCGATTTTTAGAAAATCAAAATGTTGGAAAATGAAGGAGTAAATGCGAAACCTCTTCTGGTAGAACATCGATTGCCGGCAAGGATTGGAACGTCTGAAATAGAAAATTCGCTCTGATTTATAAATAAGAATGTATTTTTTGGTGAATAGAGGTGTTTCCCCTTCAAACTACCTCTATTTCTATAATAATCACAATTTGTGTAGATAATACATTTTTATTTATCAATAGATTCAGCAATAGATGGTCTAGCAGAAGAGGTTTCGCAATAACTCTTCCATTTTATAACAGTTTTACTTTTCAGAAATTAGAGATCAAAGCTAAGAATTATGTTTACATCCTCTGAAAAAAAAAAACTGAAACTTTTCATTTAACGGTTACCTATGAAAAAAATTCCTACACTTCACCTATTTTCAGATGTCTCGGGGCGGTGAATCCCCTTAACGCTAGAAGGATCGTCCGGGTCAAAAATGACCCATTAGCAACTTTCCAAACATGTGAATTTCAATGTAACTAAAACGTGATTGAAAAATTAGATAGAAGTATGCATGCGGTGAAGAAAGTCGGAAAGTTGCGAACGATAATACTTACCAATATTCGTTTCTTTTTTGGAAAATTGCTAATGGGTCATTTTTGACTTGGACGATCCTTCCGGTGTTAAGTAAAATCGTCGTGTAATATCTCATACGTGAAATTTGAAAGAAATTAGTTTGAAGATAACGTGCGTACAGTTCGGTTAGTAGATATTCAGCTTAAATTACGATTAATCTATCCGCGTGTTACGATTGTTCAAGCAAGTAACAGCACGATGGTTTTATAAATAATGTTAATTTATTGATTCAAAAATAAATATGCGAGCTATTTAACGGTTTCCTCGATTTCGTTCAGTCTACATTGTTGTTCGCATTATATACACAGTATATAATTATTTATACTTCGCTTATAACTTAGTTGATCGTTCAGACAGTTCTGTTATTGTACACGATGAGCACGTTGTAAATAAGATTTAGTAAATGTGGTGATTTACTAGAGTTGCATTCCTTTTTATCGCAGCCCTCCTCATCCGATTGATCCGCACAATCGTAGTAGGAATTGCATCGTTTCGTGTTGTTTATGCATTCCCCGCTTTTACACTGGAACTCGTCCTCGTGCTTGCACTTCGACCAGTGCATTTCCTCGCATACGCTTGATTCGTCCTCCCTGTTTGGACAGTCTCGCACGCCGTCGCATCTGAAGTTGTTACAAAAAGGAGCAATTTTAATTATGCGTATAAGCTACGTAGATATCTTATTCATTTTTGCATAATTTTCTTCAACTTACAAGTATATTTTAGATTTGAAAATTTTTAAAAGAGAATCTTCGATTTTTCATTTATAAATTTTCATGATTTTCAAGTTTTTAGTGTACTATGAAATTCATGTGAGCCTCTCAACAAGAATTTAATTGCATCGATGCTAAGTAGACTGCTAATTTTTTTACTGATTCCAAGTTAATATACTATTAATAGTAATTTATTTCGACAGATTTTAGCATTGTAGAATTTTAGAGTAGAAATTGTTTTTAATTCCCGTGTTCCTTAAAATATGCATTAAGTTTTAATTTTTTAAAAATAACAAAAAAGATTTACGATAAACCTTTGTGTTTTTTTTTCCTTTTTGAAATATAAAATATACTTATAAATTGATTATCGAATGAAAGTATCATGTACCTCTGATATGATTTTATGCATATATCGTGTTCCCCGCACTTTACCTCGCCAGGTTTGCACGCGGTTTGAGGGCTGCACGTTCGATTATCTCCGTTTAGCATCATATCAGGCGGACACGCGCAAATCTGTAAATTTGCATGATACGTAAGAATAAAAATTATCGAATACCAAAGAAATCGCACGAATTGACGTGTATTACGCTTACATATGAATGAGGATTAGATAACAGGCACACGTGGGAACAGTTCCCATTGTTTTTGCGACACTGGTGTTCATTTACATACGTTCCGTGCAAACCTATCAACTGCATTCTATCCAACTCTGTAGGCGTACCTGAACGACAATAATCATTTACTGTTTTTATTTTCCCCTTATTCTCAGGTGTTACAAAATAAATTAAATCACTTGTTTATCACGTGTGTCGATGATTATGAAAGTGGTCTACAAAAAAAAATAATTAAATTTATCACTTATTTCATATTGCATGGATCTTTTCATAGAAAAGAGTTGTATTACAAGACCAAGTACTTTGTCAAATATTTGATTACAGAATGAAAAAATATTTTTTAATACACCCAAAGGGAAAATTCTAAAATTCTCGGAACGAAAAATATATTACTTAGGCCACTTTCCATAATTACATCTGTAGGTACTTATAGTTGGTGAAACAAATAGATTGAAGTACTTGAGAATCTCGACGAGAACTATAAATATTGTAGACTGGATAGATTTCCACAATATTTAGAAAGCGTTGGAAATAAGGCAGTCAGAAATTAATTGGTAGAGTCAGATGAGGTAGTTTAGAAAAGTAAATGGAAGAAGAACAGAGGGAGAGCGTTTTATGTAAGGAAGGATTAGGAAGTCGAAAGCATTTGGGTAGAAAAATGTAGACGAGTTGAGGATAAAAGTATAAGGCTGGGTGGAAATAATAGAAGGTAGAGATAATGAAGAAGTAATAGAACGGTTAAGGAAACTAAAGGAGGGAAGAGAGAGATGGGAGTGAATAGAGTTCTAGAGTGCAAGAAAGTACCAGAGAGAGAGGACGTGTAAGAAATACAAAACTGAATAGAAATAATTGATACACATTAGGCAGGCAAAAATTAATAAAAAGAAAAAATATATGCATATACATACAGGGTGTCCAATTTTAATCTGTAAATGGTTTCGAGGTGGACATAATCTATCATAAAAAAATTGGACACCCTGTATATTTCTCACACATAAAAAATTAGCGAATTATTTATTCATCTAATAACTACTTAATCAAGATTCAAGTACACAACATAAATAGTCGAATTATGATTAAGTAATTATTGGATGAAAATTAGTCGCTAATTTTTTCACGCGTGAGAAAAAGTAATATCAATTATTGCAAGAAAGTTTTGTATTTTTCGTAGAGATTGAGCGTGCCATCTTTTTCATTTCTGTAAAACAGGAAATGGTGCAGGAGTATTAAGATAAAAATGGCTGACCAGTCAACTCGGTCAACGAACTACCAAAAGCTTTACGACTCGTTTCGTTTCACTCACGTAGCGTGATACGCTTCTGATATTGCTGCGTGCTGCTTTTGCTTGTCCAGTATAGCTGATTCGATTTGTACTGAGTCCAAAACACATGGTCACCGAGAACAGCGAGACTCACGGGTTCCGATAATCCAGTGCGGAAGAGGTTCGTCTCGAATCCTAAAAGGAAGGAATCATTATTAATTTTCCTCATTTCGAATTATATATGTGACTGTTTGAAAAAGTGGAATATCGAACCAAGAAAGCAACTTTGAATTTCAATATTAAAATATGTAAAATTCTTGGATTTCTCTTTGCTTATACAATATTTTCAAGTTTGATCTTCCGGTATTGAGAATATTTAACTAAAGAAAATTAACGACTGCGTTAAATCTTTTAAGCTCTGATGTCCGATTGTATGTTTCGATTGCCTTACTTGAATAGCATATACGGAAGAATCTTTTTATAAATTTCAAAAAAATATTGTCGTCGAAAACTCTTGTAAATAGTTAATTACTGGTTCACGCGAGATTTATCGAGTTCCACTTCCTTCGCAGCCGGGTGTAGGTATATATTTTATCGTGATGGAAATACAGACCGGGAACGGTGGTGCTTCCGATACGACCGGTGCCTTGATCGCTCCAAAATAATCGTTTCAGGTCTCTATCATAGCACAGGGATACCTTCGGTCCGTATAACTGGCTTTTGATCGTGATTCTTTGACCGAGTCCGTTCATTTTCATCATATCTATTTGGTATTTTCCATCTACATTGAAGACGACCATCATCATGCTGCAACATCGTGTTACAATGCGTTATTAAAAATTTCACAGTATTTCTAACTTGTTTATAAAACGTGTTTTTACCCCGAAACTGTAATTTATCGAGTTACATCTACTTAGAGGGGTGAGAGAAATGAACTTTCTTATTCTCGCGTATTCCAAAAGATTGAAACTTTAAAAAAGCATTCTCCGCAATGTCCAAAATTGTCCATCGTATCTTCACATTTAATCGATAATTTCGATTTAAATTTAGACAAGATATTAA